CATTGTTCAGTTTATCAGTTGTTCAGTACTGTTATTGTTAAGCACTGAATATAATATAAATATAAATGTCCCAAAAGTATGTCACTTAGTCAGTTTATTCGATAAAAAGGTTGGGAAAAATGAAGCCACGTGACAGAACTTTTTCTGGGGGCTTCTGTCCATCATCCCATTCAAACTTTTAGGGGGTTTTAGTTCAACTGATGTCTTTACTGACGTCACAAGGGAATATGGGAAGTCCCTCTGGATGCTTCTTTTGAAAATGTCCAAAACGAGGAAGGTTTCTCACGTGTTCAACGGCTACAGAATGTCCTCCTTTCTACCTGCTCAGCCTCAGAGCGCAGCTGCAGGACAATAACTGAAGGAAACCACGCAGTGCCCGCGGTACCTGCACACTCACAACACGCGCTCGCACACTTCACCGGAAACACGCGGGGGTAAAGCTACCAACCGTACCGAAGGCTTCACAGAGAACACGGATTCGGCTCGCGCGAGAATGACCTCGCAAACACATGGAACACATGAATAGCGATGCGGCGGCATCACAGTTTTCATTTTCACTGGGGAAAAAAGTGATGACGTGACATCACTTTTTTTTTCGATAATATTTCCATTAACGGTGCAGCCCTACGTGGAACCCCCTCAAGGACTGAGAACCACCGCACCCATCAGCAATAATTAACAGAGAAGAGTTCAAAGACATTCAGTTTGCGGTGATACAACACAGAAACACCCCACACTTCATCTTTGTGCATGGAATGTTGAATCTATTATGGAAATAGCTGCACATTATTCCTCTAACCATCCATGAATGGCTTTACGAGCTGTACCACCCACTGCAATATGAGACGGTTAGTTAGCGAACTATTAGCATTAACATAATAATTATTCAGGCGACAATGACACCAGTGACTCCTGTGGTTGCCACGGTCGCGCGGAGAGTGACAGTGACCGTCCCCGTCTCTGTCTCTGACCTCCGGGGTCATGTTTGCATTGATTGTTATTACTGAGAGCACCTCAAGAGACTGAGCTGCATGTAAATTACAGATAAGAGACCAGCGCCAAACACAGAAGACCCAATCAGTCATGTAGCTGTTCCCCATCCTGTCTTTGTCCTTTTAGTGGTGGCGTT